ACTGGGCCCAAACGAATCTTTATTGAAGTCATTTTACGCCCGGATAGACCAGGTTGTTGTGAACAGTACTTTTGTCACTGAAGCTATCGGTGGTCAATGATGCCTCGCAGTACAAGGAAACGTTTTCGTCGGAGTGGTAGGCTGCTCGGTTGAACAAAGCACGAGATGTGTCGTTTGTTCTGTCATTTCCATCGAGTCCTGCGTAACCCATGCACTAGGTGCATGGTTCAGTGGTCCTGCGTTAGGGCGGATCCAGTAAGTGGAGCCGTGTGATAGTTACCCGGTGATGAAGACTCTATACCTACGACCTGGAAATCTGTAAGATTGTCCGTGGGCATCCTGATAAGTTTTATTAGCCAGCGCGATGGCTGAAGCTTTATCGATATTCGCGGATGCATCTTGAGTAGTTAACAAGTCACAAGCCCTTTATCCGTGGCTGCTCCTACACTGCTATTAAAGTTCTGCATAAAGTACATATAGCGAGAAAACTAAACAAAAAAAGGTCCGGATTCCTGGCTATATCCAGCACTTTACCTGTCATCTGGTTAAGAGTGTCTGACGGTGAGAGCATATGCTTAGTGCCACATAGGGCAACGTCAGTGTGCGCTGTGTCCTCATTATTCCCGAATTACCCGTGTAACTTGCGAGCCCGTGAATTTATACATCCTTTGTGGTATTTTAGGCTCATATTTCACTAAGATGGAGGGCTACTATCATCCCTTCACGTAGTAGTTCCGCCGTAGGCTCCAGTTCTCCCACATACTAAGACGAGTTTAGTAAGCTACACACAACAGAGCAATTTTCTCCCAGGAGTGGCCAAGCTAAGCATTTAGTGTTACATATTAGCACCACCCTACGTATACCTCCTCGGAATTGTGTATATCATGGGCTTCCAGGCGTTCAGTGGAGGTTCGGATCATTGTAGACCGAGAGCCGCTTTGTATACGATGTTCTGATCAAAGCATGAGGCCTTGAAATCTGTTTTGTTTGGGGTCCCGGAAAGGAAGAGTGAACGTGAAGTCGAGCCCGAGTACAAAAGCTTGAACAAGCCGGAGCACATTATATCATTATTTATTCATATTTATTCATGACATACTGCAAGCCCAAGAGCCTAAGCAGGAGAGGTATGAAAAAAAAACAAAGTACAATATATTATAAAAATGGAAGCGGCCTTGTAAGTATAGAACGAAACAATGATAACAATACACAAGTTGGTATATAAACAAACACATACATGTTCAGGGAAATAATAGGAAAAAAAGAACGAGAAAACAAGGAGAAAAAGAGAAACAAACAAAAGTACACAAAAAACTGAAAACACTTGTAATCTTAATTGTGCGATAGCGTCAAAATTCGACAGATGATCACAAGGTTAAGCTGTTCTAGTTTGTTAATGTTCGTGGCAAAATGAGTACTTAAATAAGTTCGCTTTAGTGCTATGAAGCATTAGGGATTCAGCACGGCGATGCCTTGTCCGACGTGCTCTGGGCGTATTTATAAAAGGCTGCGGGTTAAGAGATTAACGGTTATTTTTAATATGTAACAACACTAATCTCAATCATAAATTTTCCGCCGTAATTGCAAGTTGGAATGTTATTAGCTAGCACATTGGGGAGCCAGTTTAACGGTATCTAGAAAAAAAGGAATATCCCTGCTTTGCTAACATTTGTGTGGCTATCATTCCTAATGCGTCAGTGTTCCGTTGGGTGTAAGGATCTCACACAATAGATGCATATTCTAATTTTTGATGGATTAGCGAGTAATAAGCTTTTAGACAAGTATTGTGGGGAGCCTATTTTAATTTACGCCTTAAAAAGCAAAGCTCGACAGAAATCCGACTTACAGATGTTACCACATGCGTATAAATTGTTAGTATAGGTGGCATTGGTTATTCTCTCCCGGCGCTTCTAGTCATTGTGGCACAATTCGCGACGCCATGTTGATTGTTCACGTGACGTCACAATGAAATAAGCTCTCTAATGACCGATATAAGTGAATTGTCGCCGGTCCTGCTTTGCTATGCAGTTGCATGCGTGGCATACTCGGCCTCGTCTCGCATGACTATATTGTGCGTGATGAACCGATTTCCTTTCGTTTTCTGCGTTTGCGACTGCGCAAGCTGAAATAGCAACGTGTAGGCGAAAAGAGCTGAACCCTGACTTTCTCAACGTTCACTGGTGACAAATAATCCGCGTGTTTTCTGAAGAAAGTAGTGGCGAGGAGGAAATTGCGCTTGTAGGAAGGGCAGTGAAGGCGTGAAAGAAACCGCTGTCTCGCTTTCGAACTTGGTTCGGTTTGCGGGCCCTTTAACAGATTGCGTGTCCTTTCCATGTACTGCTGCAATGGAAAGGATAGGCTGCAGCTGCAAAAGATACCATGCTTTCTTTCGGGGCGAACCGCTGATTGCAAAAAAAAATACTCACTGCGTGGATGCTCCAACTATTCGTTTCATACTAGACACAGTCGCATGAGCTCAAGAAGGCAGCGGCAAGCGTTTCGATGCAGCATGCATTCTAACATACCGGCCAATGATATGGAGCGAGTGTCATGACGTAGTAGTATGCTTGTTATAAATTTTGGCCGGATCCGCATCATTGGGCGTGACATGAGCATGTTATTCTGAAGCACTTTAAAAATTAGATTCATTGGTCGATAATATTGATTGTGGTAAGCCTTCTTTTCAACTTACCTTGGGCTGTCTTGTATGGGAACAACCTTTTTCATCGCTGCCTTTCTGTTTCTTCTCTTCTATTGGCCACGACTTCAGGTGTCATTCCACTCCCGGAAATGAATTCACTCGCGGTGCGTGTCCCACTTGTATACTCGGCGTCAGTCTTCGTGCGGTCGATCAGCGGCACGGTGATCAGCGAAAAGTCCAGGACCAGGCGCTTGTGATAGGCGCGCAAACCATTATGTCTGTCTTTATCTATAGTCTGGTGGCGGAAAGTTAATGAAGTGAGTTTTCTGCGAGGTCAGGGCGGACGAAGTCCAGCTTTGCAAATGAAGAAAGGGAGCTCTTCATACGTGACGGGGCACTTTTCTGGCTTTGAAGCAAGTCCGGGGGTCTGTGCAGCTTCAAGATACCGCGCTGGTCATACTTTGCAGTGAACGCAACAGTGCCTTTCAAGTACAGGCGAGAAAGGTCCGACATTTCCGTATATGTTGTGTCCATCACTCATTGAAACGTTGCAGGCGCTGAGCAAAGACCGAAGGACGTAACTTCATATCCGGACAGGCTGTTAGATCTTGGTCCTTTCGTGCCATTGTCGGGAAGACGTCTGCTTGCTAGTAGTGCACGCTTCTGCTTGCGCCCAGCACAATGAAATGGTTTGGCGCAGGTGTCGTCGTCATGATGCAAGTTTGGTCGACGTCTTGTCAAGGGTGCCGGGCACGTGGACGGCGACACAGCTCCAATAAACGTCGCGTAGTTGTGTAGGGGTAGAACGCATAAGTCTAACCGGTGAAGATGGAACACTTTATCGTACGAACCTTTCGTTCATCATAACGCAAACACACACATCAAAGTAACAGCACGCGAGCGCCGTCGGTGATAATCTGATCTTCGGTGAAGCGAGTCGGCTTTTTTGCATGCGTCATCGTTGCACGCCAGCGCTATCGCTGCTGCTCACCCGCGTTCCAGAAAGAAGTAACTCAGCCATATGCGCATTCTGAGCAGAGAGTTAGGGAAAATTCTAGAATGTTCGCACACGTGCTGGCGTGGCTTGCGCAATGAGATAACACGCGTGAAGGGTTTGTGAAGTCTACTCGGACAGCGCCACCATGCGGCAATGGTGAGTAGAGGAGGAGCGCGCGCTCAACGGCCTGAAGAGCGCGCTCGCCCGGGCACTGAAAAAAAAAAAAAAAAAAACGCTGGCCAGTGTTAAAGTGCTTGTAACACTAAATGCTTGAGCGCAAATGAGGGGCGCTAGGAGGTGCACTTTAGCGGAAATCTGTCTCCTGTAATCGAATGTAGCCGTCGTTGTTTAATCAAACATGAATTCAGTGTTTCCGTTTACGTTGGTAACAACAGTACTGGTATATGTAAGCTTACAAGGACTCCTGTTTTATCCATTTCTCCCCGAATGTTTAACAAGCCTGACGATAGTTATAGCGCGAGAACAAAACGACGACACAGAGACAAGAAGGACACGTCTTTCGTGTCCTTCTTGTCTCTGTGTCGTCGTTTTGTTCTCGCACTATAACTATCGTCGTGCCATACCAACTAGCCCAAGCTGCCACACTTCTAAGTTTAACAAGCGCTCTTAACTTCTTTGCATGTATCAACCACTAGCGGCAGTGATAGTTTGATCACTGCCGCTTAGTTTGACTTATATAGTTTGATCTATATTTTATCTATATATGTAATAGTTTGATCTATTTCGAAACCCAGAGTCTCTGGGAGATTCACACCTCTTGTTGAGTGACTATCCTCGCATTACACTACAGTGCGTTGAGAAATCTCCGAGCTTTCCAAGCAGCAGGCGCTTTTCTTATAAACACTTGCTTCCTCTTTTTTTTTTTTTTTCATTTCCCCATTTTTCTGCCGCCCTCAGGCAAGCTTGCGAAGATCGAATTGCTAAGTGCGTTCTCTTCCGTTTCCACACAGATCAGCCCTCCTGTTTTATTCTTTGGCGCCTCTAGGCAGAACTAGGCACTTATGCATGTTGCTACGCTTTATACCTTGCTACACCCTGCTTCAGTACAAATTAAGTGGTAGTACATAGGTGTTCCGTGGTGTTGTCGGTTTGGGAAAGCACTTGGTACACTTGGCTTTCATTCAAACTTTGCGCGAAGTATACCGCTCCGCAATGTTCTCTAGATGGCAGTACTAAAACGCTACTAAAATTATGCGTGAGCAGTGTCAACTATAACAAAATAGGTCCAATATAACACACGAAAACGTTTTTTTCTGTTTTAATAGTTAGTGTAACGCTGTAATTGTTTTAACACGTGTTAAAATAGAATATACGATTGCAATACTTTCTGTCTTATGCCGATAGAGGCCCTTATCGTCGCATGTATTGTGCGTAAACTTCTCTACTTTGCAGGCCGGCTGCAGGCAAGTGTAGTTTACATCCATTGTCATCTCTAAATTGGCAAAATTTTATTCGCGAAGTAGTATATCCTGTGGTAGGATTGTCCGCAATCCTTTGCTTGCTGTTACGATTTCGAGCGGTCGCCAAAGGGTACCCCGAGTTTTGGCATGGCGAGTCTAAGGCATTGGCGGCCCTGCTTTCATTTACAGCGTCACACTGTAGAAAAACTGAGTTGAAGATCGAGATAGATGAAAACTATTAAAACCGTAATTAGACGGTACGTTTGTTCTGTTCGTTTTTGTAAAGTTACAAGTTGTATGCCGCAAAGCTATTGACATTCGCGGCTGAGCCACGGGCTGTAGTCTGCGATACACCGCTACCGGTTTGAACTAACTTGATTTGGGGTGCATGCACACCCTTTTTTATATTGTGAATGTGCGGAACTGACGTTCCCGTGACTTTCGGCCTCTCTAGCACATTTTAACTTCTGATCGTTTTTGTGCAGATTCATAAACACAAAAAACCATGCCTGAACTCAGCGCACAGGATTCTTCCAAGCGGGAGCCCAAAGTCGAAGACAAAGTGACTGTCGAGGACGGTGAGTAGCGTGCGATGCCTCGTGTGTCGTAGCTGGTGTGTCGCGAGGTTTTCATCTGATATTGGGGGTTATTCTCGCTGGTTCATACCGGTGTCCGGAACCATAGTTGGTGCTGTAGTACTTCCGTAAGACGATATGGGTGTGCTGCTTTCGCGCGATTGTTGTGGATAGGCCCCCTCACTCGCGCGTTGCGGGGGCGTACGTTGGCCTCCTGTCATTGTACTAATAACTTATCTGGCGTGTTCGCGTGCTCACCACCCGTGAATCCTGTACTTCGGCTAGGCTTTTCTTTGAACATTTGAGGTGTTCCCGTTGTGATTGATCTCCGTGCATCTGTTTCGCTGCGGCCGTGTCATGGCAGTAAATGAGAATAAGACGTGTGCGTAGTGTTTTCATTTACTCGGTGCTTAAGTTGATATAAAATGTTGAAAATTGTGCCGTTTCAGCCAGTGACACCGACTCCGGTAGCGACGACTCGGTGCCAGAATCTAGACGATGACATTGGAAAGGCGACAGGACAAAGCCAGGTATGGTGTATGAGTGTGTGTTTTCTGATGCATCAGTAGTTTTTCACGCCTTTGCATTCAGTGTAGAGCTTCATCGCGCGTATTCATGGTCGTCAACTTGCCCCATTCATATTTCCTCCTCCTGGACGTCGTAACAAAATGAAGTTAGAATATCGAATGTGTGGGCTCAACCCTTTTTGGCACATTGTACACATTTGCATGTGCGACTTGCTTTTGCTGATTGTGTCAACAAGTGGCTAAGGAAGAGTAAGATTCACTCAAGTTTCGATCAATTGAACATTCTGCATAGCTTTGTTTTGCAGTGTACTCTTGCATATGATCACTTGCTGAAGGCACTCCCTTGTTCTGAGAGTCGTTTGATGTGTCACTTTCTTCGAGCCATGTTGTATGTACAATTTTTCTGTGCACTGCAAGAATATCTAAAAAAAAAAAAAAAACGAAAGTGCACTGTATTTCTAGCCTGAGGTGTGACTTGATCTATGCAAACACCGAGCATGCCTGATTTCAGGATAGATATCTAATTGCAGTTTATTTAATATTGCTTACCAGAAAACATAGAAATCAACGTATTACAACATTATTTTTATTGTTGTAGAATATAGATTGCCTTCAAGAAATGTGTAAATTTCACACCTTTGCACTCTCTTTCATAGGCCACACCTTCAAGGTGCTAAATTGTACAAAGTGTTCACGAGGACAATGCAAAGGTTCTTCTGGTGTGCTCATGCTTGGCGTAGTGTTTCAACGTTGTCCTGTCCCATTGCAGATTGCACAAGCTGCGGGCATCACCGAGGAGCTGGTCAGCAAAGCCAAGCAGAGTCGGAGTGAGAAGAAGGCGCGCAAGCTGATGTCCAAACTGGGACTTAAGCAGGTGCAGGGTGTCTGCCGGGTGACCATCCGAAAGTCCGAAAAACATCCTCTTCGTCATCACCAAGCCAGATGTGTACAAGAGCCCGGCGTCAGACACCTACATCGTATTCGGAGAGGCCAAGGTGCGTGTTGTGTTGCAGTGTTATTTATTTTGTGAGACCTTCAGGGTACATTTGTACATTGTAGAAGGGAGGGGCAGAAGTATAGTTGAACAGCAACATAAATACAGGAGTATGTATGCACATTACCATGAAAATAAATATAACAGTAAATGTTGCATGCAAGGTGTACACTTGATTTAAAGACATCATTTTGCTAGACATTCTCTCTGCCTACCGACTTCGGAAAGGATAACTTTGGACTGAACCTACATCCAAACAAACAGTGCTAGCACAACGTTAAACAAAATTATATTTTTGGAATCTTATTTTGTTCTCGTTGGGACTGCTAGTGGATAAATTGTGTTTTGTAAGATTTGTCAGAAACTATACGAGCTAATCAGATACAGCAATAACCAACTGGATAAATATGTGCAACTATTCACCGTTCCAAATTGTAAATATGGACCCAGTTGTCGCCTTTTATTCATCATCAAGTTTGTTGTTCTCTGATTTTGCAATTAATTTTTTTTTTACTCTTCAGTGTTGTTTGAATAGCAATGGTGATGGTGCTTGGCTGCTGACGCAAAGGTTGTGGCTTCAATCCTGGCTGCAGCAATCGCATTTTGATGAAGGCTAAATGCCAGAGGCCCATGTACTGTGCCATGTCAGTCCACGTTAGAGAACACCAGATACTCGAAATTCTGAAAACCATCTGCTTCAATATCTCTCGTAATCATAGAGTGGTTTCGAGACTGAAAATCCCAGATAATAATAATAGTATTTTTATTAGGGAGATTTCAAGTAGTGGCCGCAATCGTTTTGGGGCCCCTAAGAGATAGCGTCGAGGCCACTGGGCATATGGAAGACCCAAATAGGATCGAGTTTCGTGTGGGGACGCTATTTCTCGAATTTAGCAGAAGGCCCAAAGCCTGCCCCAAAACTTTCTGCTTCAAATGTTGCAGCATCCATTGAAGTGACGACTCTCGGCCAACAATAGAGAAACGTGAAATAGGTGCTGCAGACCTTATTTGAAAACTCTTCGCTCCTGCTTGACCAAAAGCGCAGTACGCAAAGGGATTTGGGGGCCCTATTCGAAAACTCGCTAGTATCTCTGTAGTGTTGCTTGATTTCATATTTGCATCTGGAACAGGCATTCATTTATTCATTTTTTTTACTCTGAACTGTTGTTCAAGTTTATGTGCCAATGTAAGCAGATGTTAGAATATGCTCTTGAATGTTTCTCACTCGGTGGCTCTTTTTGCTGTCTAGATTGAGGACCTCAGTCAACAAGCCCAGATGGCAGCGGCCGAGAAGTTCAAGGCACCTGACGTCGGCGCAGCGATGGGTGAGCCAGCACAGGCCGCAGTGTCTCAACCTATCGAAGAGGAGTCTGAAGAAGATGAAGAGGTGTGTTGCACAGCTCTTTTATTCAGCTTTTGCTTGCCATGTTGCTAATGGTTGTTCTTGTTCATATGGTTTTCTTCACAAAGCCTCGTAGTGCTAGTGAGAAATAGAAAGTGCTAAATAAATTACATAAATTGGACAGGTGTCATCAAAACTCAGTTTTGTTCTAATTCATTAGTTTTTTCAAAGAGCACTCCTTCTCTCATTGGCGCATGTGAAACAATGTTCTGTATTGATTATATATAAGAATCCTTTCAAAACAGGACCTGTAAGCAGGCTGATAGAAAGGCATACGTACTCCCGAATTCATGAAAATCTCAATGCAATGTTTTAGTAAATGATATGAAGCAAAATGAGTTCTTCATTATGCAAAAATCGGGAATACCAAATAAATTGTGTTTTATTCTCTGCTACTTTTTCCCTATTCGTTATTCAGTGAAATTTCATTATTACCTTCAGTTAATTTAGTCTCGATCAGAGGCCTCTGTTGGCAATAATGAGGCATGCTCATTGAAAAATAAGTACGAAATCAGGCATTATGCTAGAGCTCCGCAATGGAGTGTGCTTGCACAATCAAAAAGAAACCTAGACTAGAAATTATTTCCTAACGCCACTGCCCCCACTACTCAACACTGTGCTTAGTTTCCTCTTTAATATCTTGACTGCAATTAGAGGCATTCGTTACTCTGTCAGTCTAATAAGGATGTGTCACTTCAGGTTCCCATGTATTACTGGTAGTGTTAAAAGACATGAAAAATAGCGAAACGTTGTTGAAAATGAAGGATGTGGTCACTGAAGTCCATTGTTACGTATTAACGAATTCTGAATTAAATGTAGGAAACATGTGATGATTCCCATCAGTGTCGCTGCTTAGGAAAATATGGTAATAGTTCTCTTACGCATGAGCCCATTTGTCCTGCTGTCCATCTATTAAAAATAGTACATTCTTAGTGTGTTCATTGTTAATTCTACCACTTCGGCTGTTATGAGCAAATTTTGAATTTTTTTTCTTTCTAGGTGGACGAGGCAGGAGTGGAGGCTAAGGATATCGAACTCGTCATGTCTCAAGCCAACGTCTCTCGTGTCAAAGCAGTCAGGGCACTCAAGAACAACAACAACGATATCGTCAATGCAATTATGGTAAGCTGCCCACTCCTGGCAACTCTCATATCTGTTGTTGATTCTAGTTACTTATAAATGTACAGTCGAACCCGCTTATAACGATTCCAGATATACAAATCTATCAGTTAATCAGTTATAACGACCGTATTTGCGTGCACTTCGGATTTTTTTATGCTACCTTTTAAAACTTAGTCCACATACAGCGAACATTTTTTGAAAGCCTCCTACTTTTATAATGAATACTTCCAACACAGTTGCGGTTATAACATGGCGCATACAAAGCTAAAATGATAAAATAGGCACGTGTGCCCCACTGCAGTTTACTGTCGAGGAAGATATCGTAGACCGCGGCGAGCACCCCACGTCGATTTTTAACGCTGTGAGCTAGGTCACCTTCCAGGCATTTCTTCACCGGCAGAACGAAAGTGAGGAAAAAAAAAAGGGAATAGGAGGCAGCTTGAATACTTGTAGTCAGCTTTCGCCCTGCAAACTTTTTTGACACCATCGTCGGCATCTGCGTCCATTAAGGATTAACCAACAACGCCTTCGAATTCAAGAAGCGATAACTTCTTACTGCATAGAAGTTCACTACGACGCTTAGCTCGCCGACACCACAATGTGCTGCAAGAGGTTTGCCCCCTTTCTGTAACCACGGAGATTAGTGATAATGACTTCTGTGCCATTGCGGCGGAGCGATAGCGAGGTGGCCGGTGGTGATGAGTGGGCCATAATGACTCAGTGCGAGTCATTATGGTGAAATAAATGTAGTACAAGTGCGTCATGCCGCCGCTGCGTCGTGCGAGGCAGCTCACGCACGCTGCTTGCAAAATTCATTTTCGTTTCGTCGAAAGGAGGAGGCTACTTGCCGCAACAGCATGATCTCGAGTGAAGCATGCACGAAGAACGCACAAGTGTGCGCATGCATTGACCTGCAAATCACCTGGCATGTGACGTCAAGAGCAGAGTAAGCGACGTGCTGCACATAACTAGCCAGGAATGATTGGTTCAATGTGGCGAACTGCGTGAATTCATTGCAAACGTGGTTTTTATATACTCGTGAGCAAACGGCCGTCGCTTCGGCATGGAAAGGCCTAACTTGTGGCGGTAAGGTTGTTAGGGTTAGGACTTTACAATAATAATACACAGGGGCAGAGGGAATGGTTTAGTCACAAAGTCCGTGTTTTTATGCGCAAGTCGATATACAACAAACTACTGACATAGTGACCACTTATCATGGCAATTCAGAGTTTGCTATAAAGGGGTTCGACTGTATTGGTTATTAAATTGGCTATTAATTTGGAACCAGGTGTGTTTTCATTATATGTGTTGGTAAACGAGCTGCACAACACTTACAAAGCTTATATGTCTCATTTACCTATTCTATTACAGCAGCAAACCTCATTTCTGACGAACTGTGCTTCAAGGATTATCCTTTACAGCGGGCAGAGGGAGGGATTTTTTTTTTTTTCGCTTCATATAATTGTAGAAACAGTTCCATTGTTGCGCCGTGAACAACAGACTTGACTGCACCAATGTCTTAATTTATGCAATGGTAAATCAAAATTGTGGCACCTTGATCCCATGATTAGTTGTTGACGTAACTTCATTGTCATGTTCCTGTCATAAGCAGCTCAGGCCTTGTTCTCGACAGGCCACCTTCAGAGGGGTTCTTGTATAGTAGATATTATGAATGAAATGCTGGAGTGCTTTCATGGTGTAGCAACTGTCCACTGCAGTAAAACCTACTTTACAGGGGGTCACACACTTATTTTTTTCAATTGAAATATTTTGAAATGATCAAAAATTTAAATTCGTATCAAAGTGTATTGTAATGCTGTAATATTTGTTTAAATATTTGAAGCATTTAAATATTCGCCCAAGCTTACTTCTCCGCCCCATGACTGTAAAGTACATGCGAAGGCACTAGGTGATGAGCGAGAGCAGTAGACTTGTGTGTACGGCTGGATTGGGCGCACCTGGCTGGCATTAAAAGAACAGAGGAGGCTCTGTTCAGCCCCTCGTGTCCCTAAGCAATGTTTCATGCACCATTGCTTGAAGCAAAACTACTACTTATGGGCAGTGCCACCCATAATAGCATTAGCACTGCTTGTGTGCGGCCTTCTTTGTCTCTCGTCCCTGAAGTTTGGCGTACTTAACAGTTCTGTGGAGTAGCAACTAGCCCACCATAATCACACCGAATTGTTTCTGGTTTTTTCTTGCAGGAACTCACGATGTAGCAGCAATGTGCCCAAGACTCAAAGCATCCAATCGTGGCTCTCCGAAAAAGCTTTTTTTTTTTTTACCCCCTCCTGCCTCGTGTAAAAAAAAAGAATCGAGTGAATGTGGGAGACTGCTCAATCGTGCCCTGCTGGAGTCTCCTACCCATTCGCAGTGTTGTGAACAGTTGACAATAAATTGTTAAGCCCATTGTGTTGCTGCAGTTTTCCTTCTCTTCACAGAAAGTTATTGACTGTGCAGAAGTGTATTCGCTAAAGATTGCACCGTCAAGTTTGATGTGAATCCTAGTCACTGGAGTCGCATTTCAATTATGGTGAAAAGGAAATTGAAAGCGCATCACAAACTTTCAGCTACTGGTCTCTGTTCATTGTAACCATGGGAAAAGGGGGCAAGTGCGGTCAGCAACACAAACCGAAATGCGCATTTCAACTTGATATGTCGAGCTCAGTAGTGCTGGCTCTAACCACCCTCTGATAGGGTTTGCCACTATTGTGTGTACGAGACGACACTGCGTCGTAACAAAGGTGGGTTTGTCATTTGCAGAGCACATAGTTAAATGTGCATTCCATTCATCTTGACCTTTATTTGACCAACATTTCTTGAATAAAAGAAAACCCTGGCATCAACAAGAAGTTTGTTCCGAGAATGCACAACTAAATTTCATCTACTTGCTACTGCTGTGTGCTATTGACTTGTCGTAAAAACGCAGCTGACAGCGCATGAAATACACAAGTGCCAGTATGTGCAGACCCATCTGAACGCTGATACCATATCTCATATTCTGCATACAAACATGCATACTTTAAAAAACGTGAATAGATGCATAGCTGCGACCAGGACAAAATGTCCTGGTCGCAGCTTTTTCGCATACTGGTTCGAGAACCAACATTTTTGGCGGCCTTGACATGAAGGCAGCATACCCGCATCGTTCTTAACCTGCTTCATTAAGAATGTGGATGGAATTTTTTATTGGCCTCACTGTGTCATTGCAAGAACTTGCAAGTGATATGACGTGAACATTATTGTGCTGTATCATAAACCTAGTGCGTTTGTGCGGTGGACCAACATGGCTCTTTGGCTGACATCAGTTCAAGTCATTTTTGCCATAAGGGACCAAATTACCTGCATATTGCCAATGTAAGCTTTTCATTATTTTGCATGCAGGCTCAGATGGTGAAAAATCTACATAAGAGATTGCTTAAAGTCTGTTCCGAAAAATAATGCTATTGTCATAATTCAGTGCGCTTTTAAAAGTTAATTTTGGGAAGGTAGAAATTTAATTACAAATCTGCTTTGTAAAGAAGAGTTGCTTTAACCTCCGAGGACAATAACATAGATGAAGGCAATCTGTGTTCAGGCATATTCCTTTGTGCCTACATTAAAACAATCCCTTTTAGCCCGTTGAACCAAGAACACCACATTCTGCACCGACTTAGTTTATCAGCTATGTCTTTTAAAAACATAGTTTCTAAGAAATAGATGACGTATAAATAAGCATGAACTAAAAAAATGATTTAATTTTTTTTCCAAGCTCAAGTCTTATCTCGTGGATTAGAACATGCAGTGTTCAGGCAATAGTAGCTTCGTGCAAATAGTGGCATCTTGCATTTCAGATTTTGAGCTTGCAATAGTCCTATACTGTTCCGTGCTACCCAAGACACCTTCTATTTGTGTGACCACCCAATGATATTGCACGCATTCCTGCACAATTTAGGAGCTCGTGTGCGTTGCAAATTGACGTAACTTAGCCAGAAATAATGTCGTTTGGTGCACGCCAAGCACATATCGACATTTGAACTCCCTCGCATCACATTAACGTTCTCAAGAAACGAGTAACTTATTCTGGAAAGCTTGTTACGACTTTTGTACCAAGACCCATACTCGAAAATGTTTTGTGCATTAGAAGGGACAGGTCATGGAAAGGCCATTAGAAAGGTCATGGATTGACCTTAATTTAGTTAGTCTTCCAAAATAAATGCCATAAGTTATAAAAATACTTCACTAGAAAATCTGCAAACCTTGGTGTCCGAAGCACTAGGCCTAAAAATACTGCTTTATTGCTCATGCTGAATTCTAATGGCAGAGTCGGAGCAGCCGATAGTTACTGCAAGCGTGCACTCGACTCTGGCGTAGAAGCGACGCCTCCCAATCAGCAGTTGGACACCATCCGTGCTGCCGGAGCAAACAAGGTGGAAGCAGAAGTCCTTGAGGTGCCCAGAATACCTTTCGTGTAGTTATCCCATTCCTCTATTTCCACTGGCGAATCCTGATGAATTACAGCTCGTACGCGGTAGTTTCAGTGTCCCTGTCACTACCCGATGAAATCGCTCGAGCCGGGACCGGAGCTTTCAGAGTAGTTGCTGCTGAGCAGAGGAAGCAATTTCGCATGATATGATTGCCAAAACAAGAGACAGCAGCAGCACCCCCAAGTGGGCGAAACAAGTTTAAGAGAGTACATCACGCCAAGTTTTGGTCCACCCTGCAGATTTTGGCGGAGCAACTTTTTCTGCTCCTCGGAGCGACTCCCGCTCTCAGTGCACTCAGAGTCTCTCATTGGAACACTCGACTCCCGCCATGACTGTGCCATTGGAACACGCACTTGCTCCAAAAAGAGCAGGAAAACTTGCTCCGACTCCGCCATTGGATTTCAATATCAGGAGTGCTTACAGCACGAGTTCGGAGACTTTTCTCATGGCATAAGAAATGGCCACCTTAGCTTAGTTGTGGGATACGAGGTACATTCCATATGTAAAGAGATATACTCATTAAGTTTGCAAATTGAATGTAGCCACTGAGTACCGAAATTTGTTACTGACACATTAAAAAGTTGGTAGTGATACTATGCTTAAACAACTCACTATTGTGATTAGTCAAGCCACTTAAATGATAATCACTTTGCATTGGTTATCTGGGAATGGCACCCTCGTTGACTTTGCCACCACAAACCCGCTAGAAGGAAAACTGATGGCATAATTTCTAAGTTCTGCAATAAAACTTCACTCGAGCATAATGTGCAACAATAAGTTGTCTTTTCATATTTTGGCCTTATTGACTCAATAATTTTTCCCAAAATTTGCTCCAAACTTTTGGCTTCCTTAGATTGAAGTACAATTCACTTTTGTAGATAATGCAGGCCTTGGCAGACTATCAAAAAATTATGATCATGCGAATTGGTGCCGGAATCACACGCTGCATACCAAATGTTTTTCTCGAAGTAAGGGCCGATACTTTCGGGGCGGAGTACCAACAGAAATTTGTACTTTTTTGATTTGCAGTGAAGCTTATGACCCACTTGTGAAAGATTTAATTGTTGTTTGCTTCATTGCATGATGGTTAATTGTTTTGAGACAGTCGTATAGCGAACAGTTTTAGCTTCAAACAGCACCAAGAAAGGCATGACCAAGCATATTATAGAAAACACAGCAACATGTTCATGTGGCTTTATGCCAAATTCTGCAACGTGTGCACGTGAGAGCCACGTTTACAATTGTGGCAGAAAGCATGTGCAATGTGTATGACAGCACATACAAACTGGTGCCTGATTGCTTCTTTACACTGAATGTGAGTGAATGTTGATATTGTGAGGTACTACTCAGTTTCGCATAGAGCTGTGCGACATACACCTGAAAGTTGATTTTAAATGTTTTTAGGCTGTATTTTCAGTAAACATTTTGAAGAAACATGCATGTTCACATTGACGTGCCCTACCAGTAAACTCGAATTTGAAATTTTGGGTCAATGCTACTTTAAAAGCACGTACGTGTCATGCAAGCAGAAAGAATACAACCACCACACTCTCTTTTTTTACGAAAAATGGCACTTTTTTTCTTTACTCTGGATGACTGGACAAAGTGTCAGCAGAGGACAACTCAAAGTGTATGTGCAAATGGTCAGCCTGAAAAAAACTCAGGAGTCAAAACAAACAGTGGGTACACATCCAACATAAATGCGCACATGGGACAACTTCGGTATACATCGATGGCCACGCTAACTCAAAGCCAATGCAGGGACAAAACTGCACTTAAAAAATATAATAAAAAAGCAGGCAAAAAAAGCAGGAATACTGTGTACAATAAAACTGATAACAAAAGATGATAAAAAAAGAGCGATAACTTTTTCAAGTATGAAGAACACCACAGAGCAACAAAACAAAACAATGTGTTTGTAGTAGACAACAGCACAAGATACTTGGTGGTGTACGCGCATGATTCGATGTAGCTTCGATAAATTACACGATCGCAAAGTACAGAACAGAACGCCGAGCTCTATTTAAAAAGCAAATGCATCCAGTAACCAGAACATCATTTCTAATTTCTTTCTCGAATGCACTGTGGCTGAGATGCTGCACGTGCCCAATAATTGCAATAACAAAAAAATGATACACCATCATGTGTTGACATGAATGTGCACATACAGCAAGTTGCCGAGAAAAGAAGACAATTTAAGGGTGAAGTGGGGAAGATGGGGTAGGGCTGCCTTAATTAAATAACTGGAAGTACATTAGCAGTGACACGATTGAACATAACTCCATCATTGAGGAAGTGCAGTGGTTCTGCATTTGGTTTTCATCCACTCTTGCAGCTTTAACAAGGCACAGGCTAGGTCTTCTTTTGTCCATGTTGCCACAATTTGAAAAGTGCCACGGCAAGATGTTCTGAATATTGCCGCAAAACGTGACGATATAAATGCCTCCACCAGCTGCACCCTCTTAAAGGACAACAAGGAAGCTCTGCAGGCCCCCAAAACAACACAACAAGCAGGTTGAACAGTTAAGTACTCAGAATCAAACTCGGCGATGCATTTAGGTTGTTCCGCCAAAAGCCATACATAAGTGACACAAGTACATTCGACTGTTTGGAAAACAAGCAGTCGGAACATGCATTCCGTCGTTCTCTTTGGCATTGTAAAATTACCGAGAGTGGTGTACCACGCAGGGAAAAAAAAAGAAAAGCAAAACAACACATGCTGTCAACTTGGTACTGAATACATCCTGAAGCTGTGAAGCAGCAACCATGTGCGAGGGAAACACTGCCCCACCCCGTGGAACTGTAGTTGTTGAAATGTGTCAAAGAATGTTTACAACCCTGTTTTTGGTGAAATTCGGCACTGTCAAGTTATAGCAGCGAGACGGCATGCGCCAAAAGGGTGGATGCAGCACTGTCATTGGCATTTGTGTAGTAGAACGTGGCTGTGGTGGCATTTTTTTTTCAATAAAAAGGCCTTATTCAACATGATTCCGCAAGTGCTTTGGCCACAAAAGACAATGGCAACCTCAAACGCTTCCGATAACCTAGCTTCTGTCATAGCCCTAGTGAATAGAGAAACGATATTTCGAGGCTTGCATGTGCTATAACTAAGATATTGGTTAAGGTGGTAGTGAGAAAAGCTTGAAACGCACGCAGGAAGCAACCACGATAAAGACGAGTCTAGTACGATCAACTGTAAAACTCTTGCATTGTCCCAGCGATCCGTCCCTCACCACTCGTACGACACATGGCAGACAAAGCTTGCCTAGCGGATTGGAGGGGCCTATGATGGTAATGTTGGAAAGGCGAACCACTTGAACAACTACTGTTATACACAAATGCCAATCATTTCGCGAAGGGACAGAATAGTTCCCCCGCTCATGAAGTGAGTATTACAGATGGTCCAGAGAGAGTTGATTACTTTCCTTTAAATAGGCGGAACGAAATAATGCTCTCGTTTAATTGTATCGACTGGCCAACATGGATGCAAAGAGGCATACAAGATGATAGCAGCGTACTGGTTGATCTTAAGGTCTTGGTCAGAATGAAAACATTGAAGCATAGCTCACGAGCACCTCTTGCAGCGAATGTTAACTCATTGATTTTGCACCAAAGTCAGCAGAATAATAGAGATGGAACTTATTTTCAGCAGTTGACACTTCCGACTGTTCAGATGCTACCGTAAACCATACCATCATACCATCACAAAAAAAAAAAAAAAAAAAGCGAAGCATGCCTTCGTGGATGTTTACGGATACTCTTGTCTAGCCCAAATTTTCTTATTAGTGTGCGCAAAGAAACACACAACTATTTCATTACTATGCATAAAAAGGCACAGAAAATTTTTTTATGTTATACAACCCACTAAAGCGCCGTGAGATATGCATGGCTTGGCTGCTAAACACCACAACCGAGCCATTACGGCAGTACGTCGCTTTAATATCTAGTAAATAGTGCAAAATTTCACTTAATACTTAGCCAAGCTGTTTGCTATAAGATGAACAAGCAAGCACAGCTCTCCAATAAAGTCCTCCACTGTAAGTTACCAGCTGCATTTATCGCACCTTTATAACACGATCATCAATGCGGAAGCCCCAAGTAATGCCTACATTGACTGCGAATTCCTGTCGTGAAGAAAGTCTGAAAATGCTATCGAGCAAGGTGAAAAAATGTGCGCAGCTACAGGAACTAGAAGCCAGAGAGCCAGCACACACAACTTCGAACATTCTAGAAAGTCATGCATTCAACAACATAACTGCCAGATAGGCCGTGCTGCATAGCTACTGAAAGTAGCCACTCGCCAGTTACAGGATGTGCTCCAATTCATACCATTGCGTGCAGACTGTCCGAGTCAGAACCTTAAAATTGAAGCCTCAGAACTGAACCAATCCTACGACTATTCAAACAAGTTACAGAGTAACAAATGTCACTACACAAGGGTAAACAAAGGAAGACAATTTCGAGGGCTTGTTTTTTCTTCTTTTATACAAGCTTAGCGAAAACCAAGAGAGAACGAATGCAAGAAAGGAATAGGAGATTGTACTGTCTGAAGTGTACCGTAGTAATTATGTAAGGGTGTCTCTCATTAGGTTACAGTGCCAAATTTTCGGCAGTTCCTCGCTCAACATGCGCATGTGTTCTGATAACATAACCTTAAGGTTGAGACAAGCTTCAGTCACTCGCTAATGCAGTGCGGATTGAACATCGCAAAAAGTCATAGTATCCCTGTCAAAAGCTATTTCCAATTGTCCCTGTTCAGGGCTCTCACTTTTAAGGATATGCTTAATGCATTGTGCAAGTAACTTACTACAGGTGCAGCTTAACTACTTGTATAATTGAAAGAAAGAATGTTTCAAAAGAACTCTCCAATGTCAGACTAGCCGAAATAACAGCTCCTCAGTACAAACTCTCGAAAGCTTTTGTTGCCTTTATCCGCCAGACATGAATTCGATGTGACTACACGGTACATGAAAGAATAAGTGTTTTTTTAGTGACTAAATTAATACTTGCATAGTTTTTACAAAATTGCAGGCAAAGTATGAATAACAGCATCTACTGGAAAAAAAATAAGCCTTTCACTGGCAGGTTGCATTGATGAGTCAAGTCGATAAGCAAGCTTGACTTTGGAGCAGTTTCGCCAGGCATAGGTTCAGCCAATAGGCATTTTGCAAATCGCTCTTAATTTTCCACCTTATAAAACCCTGTGTAATGTCCAACTTCTTTTTGGCAACTCCACAGTGGGTGCGGAAAAAAAAAAAAGCTCTCCTATGTTATTGGTGTAACCCTCAGCATGGTAGAAGGAAGAATATTAAAAGAACCGTCAATGAGAAATTTTTACCTTCATCACGAGATATATATATATATATAACATATATATCTATAAATGCTGAAAAAAAAAAGCGCTATGCACAATACATAAATGCAACATTCGGAAATAGCTACTTGTACAACGTATGGGCTACCACCAAACTGGTAGGAACACAAAAACACTACAGTTCAATGGTAATAATCACCATCGAAATGGGAGGGGGAAAGAAAAAGACACTCTTCAAAGAAGTATTTTTGCACATTTACAGCTGAAGACGATTTGGACACAGTCCTCGACAGCCAGAAAGTACAACAGAAGAATAGGTGCAACAAATGTTTACACCAACGTGAGTGCCTTGACAGATGCCTGTCGCACGTGCATGGGAAGCCGCAATTGTTTCAGAATGTCGTGAAAGCAACACCAGCTTCACCTCGATGGTATGGATCCAGCCTCATTCTGTGGCCACTTTTTCTTTCAGACCTTACTTGCAGCTGTGCAGCCAGAAGCTACACCGGCAGTGCAGCAGCTGTCAGTGACAATTTCATGTCACACATGTTTCAACAAAGCGAGTCGGGTGCGTTCTAGTCTGCTGGTGGGTGTCTGACTGATATGCTTGACAACTAAACAAGGCTGCAGTGCCTGCTGACAAGCCTACCTGGTTCAGTGGTTTGAACTTGAAAGCGAGACTACAGCGCATATCTTTAGTTGTTTGCGATTAACCCTTCTGTGCTGGTGCTTTGGAGCTATCTCCTTCAAGTATTCTTGTTGCACGGGTTTCAACGATTGCACAGCGTTAGTTACAAGCTATATCTGTGAGTGGGTAACGATTGTAGCTAACAATCCATATGATTTTCCTTGAAACCTTGTTCTACTGCACTCAGGCAGATGGCAGCTTATCCCAGCCTAGATAAGAACAAGGCCGGCACAATCCCAGTCCGTCAAATGACGCAGTCTCAACTATAAGCTAGTGTCAACTGTCTTGCGTAGATTAGGGTGGAAGTCGCTGAAAAGCCAAGCCAAAACCGTCCCAACATACGAGACAGAAGCCAAGCTTTGAGACAATTATGACTGCCCATGAACGAGACAGTAGAAAGCAATGTAGGAAAAAAAAAAAAAAAGCTCAGCAGTGCAGCATCCAGTCCTAAATTGCGTCGACAATAAATGCAACAGAGTGGGGAGGAAAGGCAAGGGGTGTGTGCGAGGGAGGGCAACGAGTTGTCAAGTGAAAAACAAAAAACAAACAAAAGACATCAAACACTGCCTTCAGCAAAGTGCCAAAACAGAAATCGCCATCTTTCTATCGTTGCCCGTTTTCTCAAGCATCTTCATGATCGCCAAACACTAAGCCAACACCCAAAAAAGCCTCCCGTCAAAAGTTTATACAGTAATATAGAAATGACAATGAAGAAGAAACAAATGATTCTATACATTTTTTTTTCAAGTGTCTGCGTGTATAATATATAATATATATATATTTATATTTCTTTATGTATATAACCTCGTTCGCACACACATGCACACGTCCATGAAGAGACGCATAGGCTCACAAAAAAAAAGCACTCAAAAAAGGACGACAGTCATGCCACATTTCAAATTTTCCTCCTCAGAAAATGCAAAGAAGAGCGAGAAAATGAAAAAAAAAAAATGCAGTGAGCAAAAGAGAAGCAAAATAAACGAAGCAATTGATTCCCGCAAGAATAAATTACAACAGGAGACGTAAAAATGAGACACTAAAACGAGATGGCCGTGTCACTCTGAAAACATGAAAAGTTCGTAGCAGGCAAATGGAAAGAGGAAAAATTTTTAAAAATACACAAATAATGCTATGGCTTGTCCATAAATGAATTACCCTTTGCTGAATTCTGGACACTGGCACTGCGGATGGCGGCGGCGACATCTTTTGACTCTTTGTCAATCCACAGTCGAATATACTAGAGTTGTGCTGCAAGAGCAAAATATTGGGTGTAGGGTAACCCTCCGCAATCACACAATACAGTTGAACCACTATATAAGACGCATGCTCTGTGCAGCCATTCCTGTCTTTTATGTGAGATGTATTTATAAGCAGGGTACCTCGTGTGCGTTTTCTTAACATCCTGTATTTTGTTGTATAGTCTCTCTTATAAAGGGGTTCGACTGGAGGGGGGGGTGAGCACATTTCGAAAATTTATGATGTAGTGAAAAAAGAAAAAAAAAATATAAATAAAGGCTCTTCCTTTGTGCAAAGGCACCTTCACGGCAGTGCTTGAAAGTCATCCAGAAGAGCTATCTTCGCTGCAACCTGCAGGTATCATTCAGAGAAAATTCTCTTTGAACCTTTGCCGAGGGCACGGGTCATACATGAGAAAACAAGGTATAGATTACGGGTAGACATGATGACATTACCATGCCACAACGTGTTTTGCCCCTCACCAAGTCGCCCCTCAGCTTCAGGTTACAAATTTAGACATAATGGGTCGATCTACAAATGTTTAAATACAGCGGTCACTGCGCTGACCGGTTGAGCGCTGAGCACGAGCGGTGACAGCTGTTTGTCATCCTCATCAGGCACACACGTTTACGGTCTCACAAGATTGGCAATATGTGCTTAGCAATATACTTAAACCCCTAGATTGTTTAAGATGTTTGCTCATGTGTATTGCAGAACTGTGGGCGTGTTAACAAGTAGAGTTTAAAAAGAAAAGGGTAGAAAAGAAAGAATATTTTACGGGCTTGTTCCTTTTTATTATGCAAAACAAAAAGATTGCAGGTACGGTCCATGTCTACGGCAAATTATATGTTCATTCGCTTTACTTTCGACATATTTCTATTGTAATTACTCCAAAATTATATCCCCACATACTATTCTTGGCATCAATATTCATTAGTTCTCATTATTTCATCTGATCATTGTAATGTGTCACGTAAAAGGGTAATACAAGTATGGACAAGTCAGAAAGCCTCAAGCAACGTAACAAGAAAGGTGCCTCAACGAGCTTTTCACAAAGGAGGAAACAATTACAAAGGTGCGCTTCTGTTGAGCCACGTTGACAGGAGCCATCCGACGCTCCGTTGCCATTTCGCTTTAAATAGAGCACTGTCCGCCATTCTACAACAACATGTACATGGAGAGATGAAGAAAGAGAAGACGAAAGAAACAAAAAGCCATAATCGTAGTTCTAAAATCTCGCCGCCGTTGTTGCTTCTTCCTCCTCCGCCAAACATTGAAATGCATTGATCTGTGATGAGAGATGCGTTATGGTATGTATACAGGTTGCAACAGCAAAGTCCCGTCTCCCCTTGTCCAAAGAGAAAAAACCAAAAAGCACAAAGCGGCTCAAAAAGAGTCCCAGTGGCAATTAGGCCGAACCTGCTTCTCTGTGCGTTTTTTTTTTTTTTTTTGTGGGGGCACGGGCGTGATGAACTATGAGGGCACAAGGACCGCATCGTGTAAGAGTGAACAAGAAGAACATAATCGACTTAAAAACGCTGAGGAGGATGCAACGGGTGTCGACGAGAGAACGGTGGTGCTGGTCGGAGAGGGAAGAACGGTGGCCGCTTTCCTCTTCGGCTGCTGCGGAGTAATGTGTGCCCTGTCTTACTCTCTTTTTTCCTTGCTCGTTCATCCTAGTGGAAGCTGGAAGATATCCCTCCTTCAATAACGAAGAACTTGTGTTGGCGAACGGGTCTGGCAGAACCCTGGAAAACGAGATACGGGAAGAGAGGCGCTTCAGAACCAGACATCCGTTACAATATTGAGAACACTTACAAAACATAACACTGCAGAGTGTTTGCTTGTCCCAATGTTAGTTGAATGTTCAATCTTAATTCATTGTGGTTCACATAATCTGCGAATTCCCCTGCCGTGGTCTTAGTCTTCAAAGGATCGTTAGGTAGATCACAGGCTACCTTGACCAAGCCTTACTTATGATGGAGATAAAGAAAGTTCCGCAATAACTACAAGGTATGTTTTTAAAACGCGTTAAGGGCAAACTTATGGCTTGGTAAGTTTAAGTTTGCAAATACCAGGATAAGAGAGTTTCTCAACTGTAAACAGGGATGTCTATAGCCACTGGCAACAGGGCAGAAATTTTGGAAGCCTAAAAACAGGACCCATTTAATGTTGATAAAATTGGGTTGTTTCACAAGGCACTTCCTACTATGACTCCATCTTATAAAGACGAAACCTGTACAGGAAGAAAGCAATGCGGAAATTGTATTACGGTGGTGGTACACTCAAACCTAGACATAACGAGCCCAAATATAACAAAATATCCATTATAATGAAGTAAACGAAAAGTAGTCTTGCAATAAATATAGTGCAAGGAATATATCTTTATAACAAATTTTGGATATAAAAAAATTACCTTTTTGTAAGACGCAACTTTGTTATAATGAGGTTTGAGAGTAGCAGGTGCCAACATGGACGGTAATGAAAAGTTGAAGAGAGCGTGCGTGGGGAAATAAAAAGTACCCCCCTGCTTCAAAGGCATGCACATGCTGCCTGTGATGTAACACACAAATGGGAAAGCTACAAACTTTTGAAATAAAGCCATATTTCGTTAATATTGGGGCATTTGCTTAAAGGGGCCCCAAAACACTTTTAAATGCAAAGCAGCTTAGAGTCGAGCTCAATCTGCTGTGCGGCGTGACCACCCTTACAGCACATGTATGTCCACTCCCCTCTCTCTCCTCTCTTACTTCCTCTGTGTCGCCTCGCAACGCCGACGCAGGGAGTGTCTGCGAACCTGCACTCGCCCTCTCCCCCTCTCCTCTAAGCATTCCTCCGCGTGGTTTTACATCCCCATTTAGCATGCCAGTCTCATCTTCCTCTCTCTCCTCCGCTATCTCCCCCTCTCAACTCGCAACGCCAACACAGGCAGTGTCTGCTAGGGAGTTTCTCAATTGACAAAACCGACTGGTTGCGCTGCACAACTGTTCACTGGCCACACCGTATATAGTGAAATCTCGGTATAACGAACTTCAGGGGGCCGCGACAATTTGTTCGTTGTTTTGAAAGGTCGTTATAGTGAAAGCCCAAAAATTAACAATAAATACTTATTTTCCACCGACCAAAACGACTTGGCTTTACAACTGTGGGTCCTTGAACTTCTTTTTCACGAAAAACAAAAACAAAAGCACAAATGAACACCAAAAATGCAGGTTTATGTTAAAGAATCCTGTGAATTATTATTATTATTATTACTTTTTTTTTCTTGTGACACGTGGAGCACAAACTGTGCAGTCTGAAGGCCTCCAGTTCATCCACATTCCTGTAGTGCGATTCGGTTCTTTGTTCACAACAGCCTGCCTCTTGCCTTCCATTTGCCGAAGAATATCACTTTCTCGCTTGGCGAAAACTGCTTCCACTTCTTCATCGCAAGCAGAGATGAACTTATTTGTAGTAGCATCGCAGCGAGAACGCCAATTTGCTTTGCGTACGCGATAAGTAATCACCGAAAAGAGATGAACACAACTGGCAAACAAGGCCTCCTTGAGCACATGTAGAAGTGACAAAGAAAGAAAAACCTGAAGGGTCGCGACTGTCATCGCCTCATTTGAAGAAAAAAAAAAAGCACTAACAAACGAAATTCCTCGCAGTTTCGTTTTCTGCTCCCACGCTGTTTCAAGTTTTCCGCCCCCCTGCTTCCAGCTCCCACTCTGCCTCCCTGACCATGCCCTCCCATGTTACCCTCGCCCCTCACCTCTGCGCTTGTAAACCTGCAGCGTCGGCGTTTCAACAAAAAGAAAGAAAAGAAAGTCGCCATTTCGTCTCCCCATCCTCTGCACCGTTGCGCGTCTTCCGAGAAGGAAGGCGCCTGTTCGCTTTGTCGTCTGCTCGCGTACAGCTCCAGCGGTTGCAAGACAGATTTCAGAACATAAGTTGATAGTACTGAGGCGTTAACATAACGTGGAACTAAATTAACACTCGTTATTCTGAAAAGTTTGGTATTCCGAAGTACGTAGTTGCAAAATAATTTTACATTGAAACTATAAGCAGTCGGCGCGGGATTTTTCAAACATTCGTTAATCTGAAAAGCGTTTATGCGGGGTTCGCTCTACTGAGATTTCACTGTACGTAGGCACTGGACCTTGGCGTCCAAGGTAGTGCCAGTGGAAGATTTCTTCTGTGTGTTGTTGAACAACAAAAATCCGCAGCGTGAGCGTTAACTAAAAGCGGACTGTGGGTCTCTGTGTCCAATTGAAGCCTTCTCTCTCTCATTGCCCATTAGCAGTGACTGACATGTTCCAGTAGGAAACAACGGTGGTCCATCGCTGTGTGCTTTGCGTCTCTCCAGGTTTCTCACCTATGAGACGCGGCAATGAACACCAGCGTCAACACTGCCACCAGTGTAAGTGTTAGCGCCCGCTGCTTCGCATCTACACATAGTTCACTTTGGTGGGAGATGGTGTAATTGCTTTTCAAGTGACCGTGGAAAGAATTCACTAGAAGAGTTTATTGCCTCACAGATTCAACGAAACAAAAATTTTATGAATCCATCCAATATGAGCAGAGTTGCAAAGATTTCTTGCACGCTAGTATTGCATTCTCTCTCCTCTAGTCTCGACAAAAATGCTGGAAGCTAAGCAGGGAGGGATCCCATGGGCACAGAAAGGTAGAGATGCATGGGCAAAGAAACTATATCACACACGCCATGTGTGATTGAGCGTTTTCTTTCTTTTTTTTTTTTTTCATCGAATACGCGGCTCTTGCAGTGTAATCGCGCGTCCATGCACGGACAAGTCGCAGCCTCCTGCGGCAATCCCAGTAACGACCGAGCAAGCCATGTTTAAATCGGCCAATGGCTGATAGAGAGCCTTTTACGAGTGATTGTTGAGCTTCTTCTGCCATTTGTGGAGAGAAGAGAAAGCGGCTTTTAGCTGTCTTTGAAAATTTACTGTGAGTTACACGCCATGTGTGGCATATAATATTTGGCTGGCGTATTCACAGGAACCTCTACTGATAGGCAGCGTTTTTCGACCATGCTCTAATAGTGGTGCAGGGTCCCTTCATATGAAACTTCTCATAAACAGAACAAATTTTCTTGCCGCTTCGAGTTTTATTTCCATGTAGGCGGGAGTTCGCGTACATAAAATTTATGTAAAACGCCGTGAATTCTCGCATTAGTAACCGTTAGTAACTTAGGTTACATATCAACATTGCAGCACCCGAGAAGATGTGATCGCCCGCTTCGATTCGAAGTCACGCTACTAATTATTTGCCCATTTACCTGAAGTCAATAAATAAATGGTAAAATCAGCTATTGCTTCGTCTGACCTCAAGCTGGAAATATAGCATCAATCTGATTTTACTATTCTGTGACGTCTCTCTTCTCTCAACATTCAGTACACTTCTAAGTCATGGAGAGGAGGTTGGGGTTGTCAACCTATATTTGGGTTTTATTGGTAGTGTGGTAGCTTTTGCAATGATTACATGCGCCAATTATCAATCACATATTTTATCTCACTCTTCTTGAGACTCAAGACAAACACAATAGAGTACTTGCCTGTGTAACGCTGAGAACTTCACAATTCTGAGTTGCTCGTCTCCCCATCCATGGGTTGCGAATAGTCGTTCCACTGAGAAGACAAAGGGGGAGGAGAGAGAAGAAAAGAAAACAAATGCATGATGATACTACAGCGTAAAGATCGTGAATGAAACAATTTAATGAGCAGTTGCTTTTATTTCCACATGAACAATACACAATAGCCAAAAGAATGGACAGCACAGTGCTCTAGAATACAGTTAATCTCTGACAGCTTAGTCTCCATTCTGGACAGTCGTAATGTCCCTTCGGAAATCTAATGCAAAAGCAAAGCACTGTATTACACCAGCGTCAAACTCTCATTCAATGTGCCCTGAATAAGAAAAAAATCATGAAGATTCGTGTTCATGCGAATTTCAGCTTACTTTGCGAAAACATCACTGCTTATCTAAAGAACCATCACGGACTTTTCAGTCTAATATACACAGAAAAGCGTGGAGGATCACATTTTATCATTCTAATGAGCAGCTTCAGGCTAGACTGCTGAGGTTGCCGAGTTTTGTCTTGTCGTAAGAATGGAATTAAAGCAATGTCACGTGAGCGTTCCACAAGCAGGCAACACAAGACAAAGCACCAATACCGACTTGAACAAACTTTTAGGTTACTTGTTGGGTTAACAAATACCACTGCGTGCCATACACGTTATTCGCGGGAAGAGTACCAAGTATGTCACATCCGAGGTTCGCTGCTATGCAATACGCGGGCCATTTTCAATGCTCAATTCACTTCACTTGTACCCACAGTTACACAATTGGGAATCCACTCGGATTCTACGCAAGCCACAACCCCTTTCAGAATCTCCGAGATTACAGATCTTCTTAGCAGCTTTGCTAGAGCCTGTTTAGTACTCCAGTAACCTTTGGCATTTGTTTGTGTATGCTGGTTTTAGTCCTCAGTGTAGGCCGTGCTGCTCACAGAAAAATTATGTTTAATTAACTACCGACTCGCTCAGCTTGCCGTTCACTTGCCCAAAGAATTGCGCTCCCAATCATCTGCAGACAGTAAAAAACAAGTTCGCAAGCAAGCCAACCGTGAATGTTACGACTACGAACAAAACATTCTCCAATGGTAAAAATGTTTCGGGACCAACTACAACTTTCACCCGTAGATGCGGAATCTTGAGCTGCGCAGTGAAAAGCAGAAGAGAGAAAGAAAGAACGAGAGAGAGAGGCACGATGAGAGTACTTACTAGGGTACTTACAGGCAGCGAGCCCAGCCTCTGGTGTGCCAGTGCATCGAGCGCTTGACCCGGGTGGGCCAGGCCGTGGGCGCCCAGCTTGGCCCCCTCGTCGCTCTTTTCCTCCTCACGCCGCTTGAGGCACGCCGTCTTGGGGTTCAGGTTGCGCTCTGTAAGCAAGAGCACGACAGCACTATAGCACGCACCAAGGGCGATGATGAAGTGACAGGGCCACGGTTACATGACAGACCACAGTACCAATAGAGAGTTGCCTACTGAGTGAATTGATAAGATTGCACAGCCTCTACAAAGTCCCAGTGTGCCTCATTGCAGAGTACTTATGCTAACCTTAATAAGGCCACTCCGTATTACAGGATGTCCTCGTTTTGGCACTGTGTATTTATTCCGTAATGTTATACAAACTCTGCCAAGCTTCTATGCTCCTAAACACTCAATATCTTGCGCAGCTTTGCTACTCGGCCTGCTCGTCAAAGATTAGAGGCGTTCTGCATCAGTCTAGAATAAAATACCGTATTTACTCGCGTAAACCTCGCACTCGCATAATTTTCGCACCCCTCCATTGCCCCCCAAATATACAATTCTTTTTTCCTCAAGTAATTATCGCACACCCGAAAACTGCCGCAATAATGTCGTCTGCTCGTTGCAGTCATTGATGATGATAGCGCACACCATCTGGCGCCATCTCTTAAGCATCAAGCGTACTATTGCACGGTGATCCAATCCAATCCAAGCCAAGCTGAAGTGGCCAGTACGTGTTGCGGCGTGTTTTGTGTGTTGTGTCGGTAATCTTGGCACGTTATGGGGCGATACTGAAGCCACACGGCTGCTTCAAGTTGCAAGTGATAGATCATGCACTAAACAAGGGCAACAGGGCCGCCGGTAGGTCCTTCGGAGCCTACGAGTTTTGTGTTCGCTACTGGTGGCGGCAGCTGAAAGCCACCAAGGCACGTTAGGGCCTGCCGTGTGCCTAAAACTGGGATTGATGGTAAACTTGATTTCTTCAGAAGGGAACTGCGGACGATTCTGTTAAATAGCCATCAGCCCAATACCAACGTCCAACGCTTACTTTTTGAGGGCTCCTGTTGAGCGACAAACGCTACCGCTACGCCCGCAACGCCCAAAAGCTTTGCGTATGGCATTCTAATTTTCGACTATTTGCTTCCACTTTTTGTGTCTCAAATAAATCTTGCCTTGTGTTGAACCTCTGCTTTTATTGTTGAGGTAAGTTCTAATTAGTACTTCTTAAAACTTGCTGTAAGGTGCTTTTGTGAGAATTCCGTTTTGCGGCCACTTCGTTTTCTTTTTCACTCTCTGCGTTTTCGTCGAAAGTTTTCCCAGTGTAATTCTCGCACCCCCAACTTTGCATTGGTTTTCTGGCAAAAAAAAGTGCGAGGATTATGCCAGTAAATACGGTAAGTGTGTGAGAACACCATTGCTGGCTTTGCATTCCAAGGATAAAAAGCTTATCTGAAGGAATATTGCAGTTATTTTTGTTGATCTATACTGAGACCGACAACCACCCAGACCTTGGAATAAGATGACTCCACTAATGGAAATATTGTTCGTTGCATCAACTAAGACAGACCTTCATTTCTTTTTTTCGGAAGTGGTGAATTTGTATTTTCGTTTTTTCACTGAAAACTGCGAATAGCAGCCCGTGGCAACTCTGGCGGCAAAGACATGAGGAGTCTGATGTACCCGACCATGTGACTGGATTGTTTTATATGGTCAATTTTTTTTTGTTAGTATTGAAATAGTGTTCGTTTCTTTAGATTGAAAGACATTACTTCGTCAAAATTTACATTCAAGGCCTGCCTTAGTAGTATGCATTGACATGTTCCAGTTAAGAACAACAACTTCAGTTACCCCTTTTTTGTCATCCTTATATATCAGTGGCGTTTGGAATTTTATTGCTAACGCACACTGAAACAGCACTGGCAAAATGCACGCAATTGTCTAACACACCTAAATTTAACACCGTGGGTCTGTGGTGTGAATAATGTTCTTGCTTGCATCAGCAATTTGCAAACTCCTCTTTGACTACAGTTAAACCTGCTTATAACGAACCTCCATATAACAAAGTTTTTCTCATTCCATGCCGTTGCTCCATAGAAGCACGCGTATTTGCGACCTCTATGTAACAAAGTAACAGTGCGAGACAACCTTGATATAACAAATTTTCCCCATGAACAACCGAAAAATTTCGCTCCGCATTTTGGCATTTTCCTAAGAGCATACATCATCCGCTGCTGCCCCGCCACCGCCGAACCTCGAAGCGGCGGACCTGGACCCTACGAGCCAGCTTTGCTGTCGTTCTCGCCGCTGCGCTCCCATGTGCGGGTGTGCCCCCCCCCCTTCCCACTCCAAACCAACATAAAAAAAGAACTACTTTTGCGTGTTGGCAGTGCCACGCTTTTAGTTAGCGTCAAATATTATAGAGCTGCCCTGCATATGGAGGGCGCTTTACTGATTAGTTTCCCCGGATATCCGTGTCCGTGTTGTTCGCTCTTCGTTTTCGACGCCGTGCGCGCGTGCATAGTTTCACTGCGTGCGCATTGTGTGGCCCCCGACGACATTCAGCTTTGCTTTTCTTTTTTATTATTGCGGTAGCAGTTATGTATATGGACAGTCTCAGCTGGTTTTTTGCCTCCGCCGCCATCATGCACGTATTATACATATATAAAAACTCAAGAAAGGGGGAAAAAAAAGCCGCCCGCGCTCAGCTTGTCACGATGCGCGGATGTGCGCTTATCTCTCACGTGTACTGTGCCCCGCGAATGGGGGTGGGGGGTAGATTTTTGTGCGTGCTTATTTTTCGTTGGGTGGGTGGAATCGTGTGCCTTCGACTTTGACCGGTAAACGATTTAGTTTATTTGCCGGGAGCACAAAGATCACTTTGCTCGCTGGACAGGCACCATTTGCGAAAAGAGTGCGCTTTTCAAACACACCGAAGTAAGAACTGGAGCACTTGTTAGATTGCACACATATCTGTACCTGTGATTACATTTGTGCCTCATTTTTGTTTAAACAGCGCGTTTATCACTCTGTTTAAACAGAGCCGTAAATGTTGCTAGTTCCATCTCGTCCTGTGTATGCTGTTTTCTTGAGTCATTTGTGCATGAGCAGCGCGCTGCACGCTTCGATCTGCCTGGCCTTCTCAGTGTTACATTCCAAGAATTGTTATCGCATTCATTGCTTCGCCCTTACGGCGAAACTCTGACTTCCTTTGATTTCGGACAACCATGTCTACACCACCGAGGGGATGTCAGATTAGGCACTGATGAAAACTTTTCGACACCACGGTGACGCCAGATCTTTGGAGGTCGACTGGTCACGCGCTTTTGTTTTGCGCCCCGCCGCGAGTTCACAGGCTGGTAGCTTTCGCGATTAGCCGATTAGTTCTGGCAACAACACGACAGCATGTTGAACGCAATGCAATTTACGCGATAGCGAAAAATTGCAATGTTATAAGAACTAAGGCTGGCAGCCAACTCTTTTGAATCCGATATCGCGGAACTCCTACAAAACGCTAGTGTGAGCAAATACGACCGCTCTAGGGAGATGTGCTCTTTTCACACAGTCCCTGCGCCTTGAAACCGCACTGATAATCGCTGAGATAGCAAGCGTGCCAGCGATCACAACCGCCCTCGAAATCGTTCATTATTGCTGCTCGAGCGATCCCCCTTCCCCCTCCCCGCGTTGTTTCATGCTCGTTCAAGCCGGGTGGTTTACTTTTAATATGAACATTCGACGGCATGACGATAGTTATAGCGCGAGAACAAAACGACGACACAGAGACAAGAAGGACGTTTTGTTCTCGCGCTAACTGTCGTCATGCCATACCGACTAGCCCAAGCTGCCACACTTCTAAGTTACATTCGACGGCAGTTCTAACACGCGAGAGATGTCATGCAATTTCCAGGCGATAGGGGTGGGTCGACTCATTTTATCTCCGCTTCAGCAGCGCTTGCTGCTTTTACCCGCTTATGAAAGTTAGGATGCGTGGGGGCATGTTATCCATTTGCACTTGTTACGGAACTTGGCGGCGATGACGAAAACCCACTGAGAGTGTCCATATACAGTGGAACTTCGATTATACGTCCCCTGGTCCTACGACGACCCGCGTTTTACGACGAATATGCTTGGTCCCGGCAAAACCCCCAATACAACTAATGTATTGAAAACCTCAATTCTACGACACAATTTTACGCCGGCCCCGCCTCATACGACGCTTAGCTGGACTGTCCGAGAAAAAAGAAAAAACCTACGGTGACGCACGCAGGCTACCATGCAAGCACACTGCGGCCAGATGAAAAAAAGTGGGGAAATCGAGGAATCGAGTTCGTTCCTCCGCACGTTCTAGCACACTATCCGCGCTGCCACCACAGGGCCTCTTCAATTCTTCGACCCGCTGTCGGCCATAGCTAGCCAGAGCCAACGTTGTCTAGAGCCAGCCGGAACGCATTCGTTTTGCTTAGTCGCATTGCACTGCGCACTTCCGTTGGGGCCTTTTTTTGTTTTGTTCTCTATCTTCTTTTGGGTGGTTTTGTAGCGACAGCTGTGAGCAGGTAACATGGCAGATAATTTCAAGCTCGCTTTCTAGTATGCGATAACTTTCACTAGATTTCGCGTCGGTGTACCGGAAGTGATGAACGGCGATTGTTGAGCCTGTCTACGTTTGGGACAGCCGCGGAAATCGGAACTAGCTGCTGTCTAGCTACCAGAGGGCTGGGGAGTTGTAGCCCCTCACGATTGGTCAAAGCTTGCACAGACGTACGCACTTGCAAAATTTGAATGGGCCCACTGCCTTGTTGCCTTTCAGCCATTCTTTCACGTGTTCGCCTCATCGGTTGGTTGTGCGCCGCAGCTGCTGGGTCTACGTGCAAAATTTTCAGTATTCGGACATAGGTGTGCGAGGAAGCTTTCGAATTCCTGGTTGCTAGTGCTGCGTCTCGCAATGTCACGGAACCGAAAACCACTGACGCTTGGAGAAAAGGTTTGCATAATCGAGGAGGCGGAGAAGCGGAACAGAGCAACAAAGGCCAGCATTGCCCGCGACCTGAACATTCCCGAGTCGTCACTGAAAACGATCCTTGCAAAGAAGGATAGCATCCTATTAAGGGGGGGCGCGGCAAGTAAAGTGCCGATT